ATGATACCACTCTGATGGCAGAAAGTGAGGAGGAATTAAAGAAACTCTTAATGAGGGTGAAAGAGGAGAGTGCAAAAATGGTCTGAAGCTCTACATAAAAAGCCCCTAAGGTCATGGCCACTGGTCCCATCACCTCCTGGCAAATAGAAGGGTAAGAGATGGAGGCAGTGACAGATTTTACCTTCTTGGGCTCTATGATCACTGCAGATGGTGACAGCAGCCACGAAATTAAAAGATGCCTGCTTCTTGGGAGGGAAGTGATGACAAACCTAGACAGCATCTTAAAAAGCAGAGACGTCACCTTGCCAACAAAAGTCCGCATAGTCAAAGCTATATTTTTTCCTGTTGTGATGTATGGAAGCGAGAACTGGGCCCTAAAGAAGGCTGACTGCCGAAGAATGGATGCTTTTGAATTGTGGTGCTGGAGGAGGTTCTTGAGAGTCTCCTGGACTGCAAGGAGAACAAACCTATCCATTCTAAAGGAAATCAACCCTGAGTGCTCACTGGAAGGACAGATCCTGAAGCTGAGGCTCCAAGACTTTGGCCTTCTCATGAGAAGAGAAGACTCCTTGGAAAAGACCCTGATGTTAGGAAAGTGTGAAGGCAAGAGGAGAAGGGGATGACAGAGGACAAGATGGTTGGACAAGGTCATCGAAGACCAATATGAGTCTGACCCAACTCCGGGAGACAGTGGACGACAGGAGGACCTGGCGTGCTCTGGTCCATGGGGTCACGAAGAGTCGGACACAACTAAACGACTAAACAACAACATACATCATCAGTCCATCCCAGCAAGCTGGGTATTCAGTTTACTGACTTGGGAAGGATGGAAGGCTGAGTGAATCTCAAGCCAGTTACCTGGGATTGAACCCAGATCAAGAGCAGAATTATGCCTGCAGAACTGTGTTTTAACTGCTACACCATGAGACTGGTTTGAATTTATGGGTTAAGATTCAGTGTTTCGTTTCTGAACTTGTTCTGGGCCAACAAGTCACTTCCAATAGGCAGGGGGATGACTCTAACGTTGTTTTCAAGGTATATGGAAAAGGGTAGTTTCTCGCTGCTACTTGCCAGTGAGTTTCCCTGGCGCAGCAATTAGAACCCGGATCTCTGGAGCCCTAGTTTAACATTCCCTCTGCTACACCTCTGGAGGGGTCTTCCATGTCCTTCAATGCCACTCTGCTTGTGTGCTGGATATCTGCCGGTCGGCGACTCTAGTCAAGGGTCTTGTGTCAGCTCAAGAGAACTACTCCCGGTTATGGACTTGAACGGTTGTGCGTTGAGATAAAAACAGGCTGGAAAGCAGCATGAGACCGGTGGAGCAGCTTTTTTCAGGTTGCTTTTTGCCTGTTATGCCCTGGGCTGTAGTGCCCTCCACTGGCAGACGGCAGCCATACCATCCATCACTTTGCAAGCCACTGCCCACAAAGTCATGCCAAGCCAAGCCAAATGACTTTGGACACTAATGATGCCTCTCAGAGAGGGCTTGGAAAATGTTCCTCTTTTGAATATCAGCTCCCAGAATCTCCTGACCTTTTGGGTGTAGTTGAAAAAGCAAAAAGCTCAGGGTCTAAATTTTATTTATTTATTATTTATTAGTTCATTCATTCATTTATTCATTCATTTATCCACCCAGCCATCCCACCTAATTAGTAGCCAGGCTCTGACTCTGGGCAAAGCAGAACCATTTGTCCTGCTTGCCCGAGGTAAAACCTGGTACCTGAAAGAGGTGCAACGAGTTTGGCATCACTCCCTTGGGGCAATATAGTTCCACAGATTCTGGTGGGGCAATTTTCAGGCTTTTTTTCCTGGCTTTGCAATGCCCAGCTCGAAGACAAGAATCCAGGAGGCATGAAAAGTTCAAAATTATGTTACTCTAGCAGCCCAGAAAGGGTCTTCCTCATTTTTGTTTTTGAATTTGATGGATAGATGGATGGATGGACAGACGGACGGACGGACGGACGGAAGGACGGACGGATGGATGGATGGATGGATCGATCGATTAGTCAATGGATGGATGGACGGATGGATGGATGGATGGATCGATTAGTCAATGGATGGATGGACGGATGGATGGATTGGTCCACTGCTCTCGCTCTCCTTTCCACCAGCTTCAGTTCTTGACTCTGTTGTCATCGGGAACCCCTTGGGGGTTCCAAGAGACATAGAGGTTTCCTGGAAGCAATGCCATGGGGCAGGGATTTTACAGGCACAGGGACCTGCTGACATCTGCCTGATTGAAGGTCGGTGCCCATCTTAACTGGTAGGCAACTGGCAGGGAAGCCCAAGATGATAGCATGTGGTGCCAGCCAGCTCATTCTGGGTTTCCCCCCTTCCTCGGCCATGACTCAAAAACAACCAATTGTCTAACTCAGAGGAAAGCAAAGTGAGAAATGCCAGGAATATTACCGAATTTCAAGATTAGAAATGGACTTCTAGCCCATGTCAAATTTCCAAGCAGACATACACAAAGTGAGAGTCAAGGGCAGAAACTTAAGAGGACGACTACATTTTAATTCTTCTCTTCCCGGTAGGAGAGTTTCCCCCCCCCTTCCATTCGCTTTTGGATTTAGAAAAAAAAAACACAAATGGATGAACAACATTTGAGGGATGTCTTTGAAGACGATGCATGTTCGTGGCTCCGGAAGTGAGGAGGTGCCTTTGCTTAGCGTGGAGAGAAGCAGAGGTCGGCCTCATGGGGCATGTTCCCGAAGCCGCTGACTTTTGGAGTGAGGTCAATTTGGGTGACTCCCGGAGGATGCTTGACGTGGAAGGTCTGCAGGATGGTGGTGGTGTAGAGGAAGAGTTCCATCCGAGCCAGTCCTTCCCCCAAGCAGTTCCTCTTTCCTGTTGCGGAGGGAAGCCGAAAAGAATTTCACAAAGCGCTCCTCAAGGCAGCCACAACTTAAAGGGTTTCTTTTTGTTTAGGAAGATTTGGGAAGGGGGACAAATTTTGCCCTCAAATAAAATCAGATATTGTCACTTTTGTCCCAAAACTGGAAGCCATTCTAGTTTTAAAAAATGAAAAAGCCTCATTCCCAACTCACACTTTGGAATGGAACAGTTAGAAGCAATCCAGTGGCTTGTGGCTGCTTTATTTTTGCATAACTAATCATGTAACTGCTAAACATCAAAGGTACAGTAGGTTAATGAGCAGATACAAAGTTTGTTTAAAGGCTATAATGAGAAATTTACTGCTGCAAAATGTAATAATTTGCAGAAGAGACTTCTTAAGAAACGGGGTTATTTTCAATCTTTAGGGGGGGGAAAGTAAATTACCTATATAGCCAGGTCTGTATATTTGGGACTGCAGGTTCCCTAAACGGGTCTGTTTCTTGTCCTGCAGTGATCCATGGACCAGTCTGAGCACTTCCCCAAAGAGATGACAAAACAGGACTTCCTACCTGCGGAAAAAGGCATGTCTGCTCCGTTCTTCTTGAAGTTCCCGTTTTCATCCAGGAAATGCCCTGGGTCAAACTTGTAGGGGGTTTTGAATTGCTTGGGATCCCGCAAGGCGGAGCCCAAGACTAAGTACACAGAGGTGCCCTGTTTGAAGGAAAATAGAAGACATCAGGGTGAGAGTTAGCAGGCAACCCGTAAGTGTTGATCATCAAGATGTGTAGAATGGCCTTCTCCTTTTGAGCTCTTGGCCTTCCAGGAAAACCCTTCCCTTTCTCCCTCTGGGGGGTTTTGAATTGCTTGGGATCCCGCAAGGCGGAGCCCAAGACTAAGTACACAGAGGTGCCCTGTTTGAAGGAAAATAGAAGACATCAGGGTGAGAGTTAGCAGGCAACCCGTAAGTGTTGATCATCAAGATGTGTAGAATGGCCTTCTCCTTTTGAGCTCTTGGCCTTCCAGGAAAACCCTTCCCTTTCTCCCTCTGTGTACCTTTGGGATGGTAAAACCTTCCAGTTCCACATCCCTTCTTGTCCGGCGGGCAAGTCCTAAAGGAGCAAGATTCAGAAATCGCTGAGCTTCATGGATGACAGCTTCTGTGTATGGCATCTCGGGGCGGTCCTTCATGGCAGGCGGCCGTTCTCGTCCTACCACTCGGTCAATCTCCTCGTGGACTTTTGCTAGAAGGGAATTCAAAGAGGGTGTTTTACGTACCATCAGCAGCCTGAGCAAACCACCCCACACACAATTTCTCCCTTGCTATGCCTCACCTTCCCTGTCTGGGTTGGGACTGTTGTGCGTGTGGAGGGTTATGAAGCCTTTCCTCCCAGGCTGTGGTCCTCATGAAAACCACCCCTCCCTTTCCCATTCCACTACAAACCCTAACAGGGCAGCCACCCTATCGCTCCTGGAAATCTCCCCTGTGGGGCAAACAACAGCTCCAGTGACAAATGGTCTGCTGAATCTGGAGTGGCTTCTAGTCTGAATTTTATGGAAGCTGTCCAAGACGGTGAGCCCTATCACGCACAGAAGATTCAGATTCTAGGTAGGCTGTTTTAAAGTTGAAGGTGACGCCTGAACCAAAGGCATCATCCTCTATTGATCTCATCCATTTCTATCTTAGATCTTCAGCAACATTAAAGCCAGAGATCTCCACAATGGGCTGTCAGAGGACAGTATGCTTTGACATTGTGATAGATCTGATCAAATTTAATATTGCCAGTTTGGGATGGTGTTTGAAAAAATGTTTGCTTTGGACACTGAAAATTTTGGCCCCAACTAGAGATGGGCACAAACTGCTGGTTCGGCAGTACACGCCGCCTTGTTTATTGTCCGGGTGTTTCACAGTCCCACATCCTCCGGTGGGCAGCTGCTCAATATCAGAGCCTGGATAAGGCGTATCAGGGAAGCCAGGCTGCTTCCTCGGGGCGCATGAAGGTGGGGCTGGGAAGCGGTGAACACCTGATGGAGCAAGAAACGAACTGGCATGAACCACTGGACCGTGGATTCGCGCCCAACTCTTGTCCCAACCTGTGGGTTGGTTTCCAGAACAAAATGAGGTCCTTGCCACCCAGCCCCGTGGTTGTTTGCAGATGGCAGGGAAGAAAAGAAGCTGTGTTGATAAGGAGTAAAGGCATGCCCTGTAAAATTAATGCTTCCACCACCCCCTCAAAGAAATCCAGTCAGTTCAAAGAAAGAGAGAGATGGACCAGTGCTTGACTGGGCAACCTTGGACAGCTTGGTGTTCCGCCAGGACCATGAGGAGGTATCTCAAGGTGGTGCTGGTGGTCTCTGTTCCAGCCGTGAAGAGGTCAACAATGGTCACCATGAGGTTCTCTCTAGTAAATTCTGTCTTGGGATTGTTCTTCTCCTGGGAATGAAGAGAACAGTGGGGGAAACCATCCGTCACAATAGAAAATGCAACACCTATCACAGCATTGCAACAGCAATCACTATACCTCCGTTAATCTTTATATTTAGGAGGAATAGGGTGTTGAAGAGAGCAACTTGGGGGTCTGGCCTATGGTGCCTCCATTCTCTGAGTCTTGAGAGCGGAATTCACTTGGGAAGGCTTGCCTGGATCATGGACTACGGCATTGCAAGACTTTTGGCCATGACTTGTAACTGGCATGGAGGACATGCCGATGTCATGCCCGAAGAGGTGATCTTTCGCATTTGTTGTTGAACGTGTATTTTAATGGAGGGCTTTAGAGACTGTAAACGTGGAGCTGAGTCCTCCATGTTGTGGATCTCCCAGCTTGGTTGATAAATATATCTGGGGACTTTGTTTTTATTTGGCTTCCGAGAGACGTTCTTCCTTGTTTATACAAGTAACTCCTGCTCTGTTGCTGATGATAAGAACTTGGGATCTACAGACTGAAGCATCCAGTTTTGGGCTGTGATATATCACTGTTGTCACTTGTTTTTTTTAAATATATGTGAATATAAAAATAGTTTTGTTAAGTTTGTGTTTACAATACTGATATATATGTGTATTTGTGTACATACACACACATATACACATAACCCCCATCCACTGCATCTATTTCTTAGCAATCCATGCAGTGAGATAGAAGGTATCATAGTTTTTGCACAAAGTGAATCTTTTATGTGAAAAAAAATTATTCAAAATCTGTACAAAAATTAGTCTCTCAAATGCAAAAACTCTAACTGGGGAAGGAAATTTTGCTGTTCTTAGGCGAATAATTCCCTTCTCACTGGTTTTTCTTTTTTCGGGCAGGAATGAGGCATGCAATGGTCCACATCCCACATCTGTCCCCTTTCTACCTAGCAGCCTGGTGCTTTTTGCTTAAAATAGATGCAGCCCCCCCCGCCCCGAACCTTCACTGTGGCTTTCTCTACTCCAGTATGTCATACCTGCTGCATTTTGAGGAGGAAAGAGTCTACGAAGTCCCGAACATTTGTGGGATCCAGAGTTTTCTCGTGTTCCTCCACCTTCCGAGCTACATAGACCTCTATGTGGGACCAGTTTTTGAAGAAAGTTTTATGAGGACCGGGCAAGAAGTCCATGAACTCAGGAATAAAGTAATAGAGCTGAAGAAAAGAGATAGAAAGACAGAAACACAGAGAAAATGCAGTCAAGAGGTGAATGACTTTGAAAATGTTTTGGTGAGTTTCAACCTGTTGCTTGAATTAAACCCATTAAGCTTTACAGGGCAGGACTTTGGAATTGGGCAGATAAATGACCTTCAGCATTTTGTAATCCCTTTTTGGGCTAAACGTGGTTGATCAGACAAGGGTGCAGATGATCTGAAGCAACTCCAGAGGAGTATGACGCTTGAGATCTTTGAAAGTTCCTTCTTCCGACCAGAAATTTCTTGCAAAATGTCTCTAATGGGAATAGGTTTTTATGAGGCATTCCTTGTTTGGCCCTCTGACCCCATTCATAGCAGGAGGTTATTTATGAGATATTACAGATTCTGGTGCAATCTCTCAGAAAGGACCACACAAAACTGGCTGGACACAATCTCAGAAGGAGTGTCCAGTGAACTACTGTTAAGATTATAGGGCCCGTTTTCTGTAACATACAATGAGGCTTTCTGGATGTGGGCTTTCTGTCTTTCTACCGTGTTGATCCACAGGAATGAGATCCAACAATGCCTCCGTTTATTTTCCACTTCCATCTCCCAGCCTGCTCTCCTCTTCCTCGGCACCATCTTGCTGGATTGTTCCTTACCTGCCCTCCATAGGAGCTGTCTAGAACAAAGGCTTCTGTAAGTAACTTCAGCATCCGGATATAGTCCTCATCCTGGTAATCGAACCGGTCTGCAAAGAGGATGTGGCTGATGATGTTGCAGGTAGCGCTGCTGAAAAGGGTGATTGGGTTGAAGGGCCGACCTGGCAAGGAAAGCAAAACACCGATGGAATATTTGGGTGCACCTTCACTTGCCATATTACTGTATTTTAAAAGACAATATTTATGGCCAGAAGCTTCTTACTGATCTACACTGGCCAAGATCATCAGGGGAGGCTTTCCTTTCTGTTGTGCCACCTTCACAGGGTTTTTTTTTGGGGAAGGGGGACATGGGAGAGGACTCTTTCTGTGGCTGTTCCTTTAGACTCTGGAACTCCCTGCCACTGGAGGCCAGCCTGGCCCCATCTTTGCTGTCCTTTTGCAAGCAGGCCAAGAACTTTCTCTACAGTCAAGCTTTCCCTGAAAGGATGGCTGCTGAGTGGGGTTTTTTGAAAATTAATTGTCATATGTTGCTGCATTGAATGTGTTTTGTTGTTATTTATTAGAACTGCTTGATAGCTTGGTGATTTTGACATCAAGCTGCTGAAGCAAAGGTTGGGAGTTCAATTCCCCATGGAATCTCTTTGATGGGCACTAGACTCAATGATGTATTGGGTCCCTTCCAGCTCTACAGTTCAAAGATTATATTCTTATATTATGTCTTTTAATACTATATATAATCTTTCAGTGTTTTATACTCTCTTTTGTTAGCTTAATAGGGAAGAAAAACAACAGGGGAGGAAAAGGAAGAGGAAGAGAGAAGAGGAGGAGCAGAAGGAGAAGGGGGAGAATCCTGCACCTTTTGTGGCTCGGAGCTCCTTCATCAGGTACTCTGCCTCCTCCTGGATGTGTTCCTCGATGCTTTTCTTCCCCATTCCAAAGTTCCTCAAGGTCGTGAGGGAGAAGCGACGGATCTGGAGCCAGCGCTCGCCATTCGACACGATAACACCTAAAGAAAGCAGGCAGGTAGTAGAGAACGCAGACTGAGCTTCTCTCGCTACAGATAGCAATCAACATCCTGCACTTTGATATTACTGAATGAGCATGTGTTTCCAAAGCACGCAGCCCTCTTCTGCCCTTCCAATTCTGAGTAGACCTGATGGCAAAACCCAGTGTTGCATACAAAGATCCGGATTGGAAGAGAAAAAGCTTGAACGGATGGAAGAGACCATTGGTAACAGTGCAAGCTAAAAAATCTTGTAAGTTAGTAAGCAAGCAAGCAAACAAACAAACAAACAAACAAGTAAGCAAGCATAAAAGTAAGCAAGTAAGCAAGCAAGCAAATAAATAAAGCAAGCAAGCAAGCAAGCAAGCAAGCATGCAAGCAAATAAATAAAGTAAGTAAGTAAGTAAGTAAGTAAGTGTTTGTAGGTTACAACAGCAGTCTCTCTCAGTTGTGGGAGAGAGTAAACTAGCTGGTTTTGATGGGGGAATTGATCTCCAGGACTTATGCACCAGGCGTCCTCTGAAGTTTATTTTTACAAACCCAGACAACTGCGTCCGTTAACACTTGGATTTTAATGTGCTTTAAGGTGTGATTATGGGTGGTTTCTAACATCTGTTCCTGGCCCTCGCATAGACAGCAAGAAGCGGGATTGCCACTGGATGCCACATTGTGTGGTTGTGCAAACATTTGCATTCAGACGATGGCTGGGATCACTCCCTGGCAAGGTTGCTCCCCAAATCCATTAATTTGATGGCAGAACACAGGTCGGAAAAGGCTGCTGTTTTCTCTACCAGTAGTTCCTAACCTTGGATAAACCGGATGTTCTTAGACTGCAACTCCCAGAAGCCTCCACACTTTGCAATGCTGGCTGGGGTTTCATGGGAGCTGCAGTCCAAGAACATCTGGGAATTACTTCTCTAAATGGAGGTGCATGCCCGCTACACACCTTGTGTTATATATACAGGGTGGCAGACTGAGTTCCAGAAGCATTAACGTGAGGTGGACGCAAGTGCAATTTCAGTGGATTTAGGAGCAGGAGAGAATTTGTAGAAAGCCACAGACACAGGTGTGGAAAAGAACGACAGGTGAAAACAACACAAGGGCCTTGGTTCTCTCTATTCTCTGCTACCTTTGGACTTAGCCAGCCGTAGGCTGTGTCTTGTTTTTTAATATGAATCATACCGAGTCCGTAGCTCGCCTTCCAGCATCTTCCAGAGCATGGACAGAGTTCCTACTCCTGTCCTCTGAAGATGCCCATGGCC